ATTAAAAATTTTTTTTTTTTTTTTTTTTTTTGGTACCGGGGATTGAACTCAGGTCCTTGCGCTTGCAAGGCAGGCCACTGAACTACTGAGCTAAATCCCCAGCCCCAAGAATTCTAAATAAACCAATATCAGCCAATGAAATTGAAGATGTAAGTAAAAACCTACCAACAAAGAAAAGCCCGAGCCCTGATGGATTCGCTGCTGAATTCTGTAAGAAATTTAGAGAAGACCCAATGCTGTTACTTCTCAAATTCTTTAATGAAACTGAAAGGGAAGCAATACTCCCAAATTTATTCCTGGAAGCAAGTATTATCCAAATATCAAAACCAAAGAAGGATGCAATCAAAAAAGAGAACTATAGGTCATTTTCCCTAATGAATATAGATGAAAAAATCCTCAATACTGGAAAACCGGACCAGGGATTTAGCTCAGTGGCGCTGTACCTGCCTTGTAAGCACAGGTCCTGAGTTTGATTCCTGGTACAAGAAAGAAAAAAAAAAAAGATACTGGCAAACAGAATGGAGCAAATCATCAGGGATGCAGGCATGGTTCAACATACACAAATCAATAAATGCAATACACCGTATTAACAGAGCCAAGGACAAAAATCATATGATCATCTCAAGAGATGCAGAAAAAGCATTTGATAAAGTACAACACCCATTCACAATAAAAACCCTACAGAAAATTGGAATGGATGGTCTTTATCACAATCTCATAAAAGCCATCTATTACAAATCAACAACCAACAACATAATAAATGGAGAAAAACTAAAAGCTTTCACTCTAAAATCAGGAACAAGACAAAGATGTCTACTGTCCCCATTCTTATTCAATATAGTTCTGAAAACACTAGCCAGAGCAACTTGACAAGCAAAAGAAAAGGAATAAGGATGGAAAGAAAGAAGTGAAAATAAATAAGTCACACATGTGTAAATACTGAATAATTTTCGTGGTGTGTGGATGGGTAGGGGAAGGGTAAAAAGGGAAAAGAAAAAAATGTGAGATAATGAAAAGATGAAAATAAAGTGTTTGTAGATGGGGAGGGGAGGAGGGGTGAAGGGAGGGCAGAGGTAAGGGGAAAAAATGAGAATCAAGACTTGTCATGTAGAGGTACAAGATCCCAACAATGATGTAACTGTACTGTATCCCTAAAATGTACCAATAAACTCAATTAAAGCTGAAAAAAAAAAAAGAAAGAAGTGAAATTAGCATTTATTTGTGGATGACATAATAGTCTTACATAGAAGACCCCAAAAACTTCACCAAAAGACTTCTAGATTTAATAACCAAATTCAGTAATGTAGCCAATACTTAAAACCAATACTTAAAATTAACAAATTAACAAAGCCAATACTTAAAAATCAAAAGCATTTCTGTACACGAATAACAAACTCACTGAGAAAAAAATTAGGAAAACAACACCCTTCATAATAGCATCCAAGGGCCAGGGATTTAGCTCAGAGGTTCCGCCTCCTGCCTTGCAAGCTCAAGGACCCAAGTTCGACTGCCAGTTCAAAAAAAGAAAAAAAATTTCATAATAGCATCCAAAAAAAATAAATACCTAGGAATCAATCTAACCAAGGAAATAAAAGACATTTACATGGAAAATTACAGTACTCTGAAAAAGGAAATTGAAGAGGATATCAGAAAATGCAAAGAAAAATACCTTGTTCTTAAATAGGAAGAACAGTGAAAATGGCCATACTTCCAAAATTGTTATACAGATTTAATGTGATCTCAATCAAAATTCCAATAGCATATCTCACAGAATTAGAAAAAACAATCCTAAAATTCATTAGGAACCAGAAGTCTAGAATAGCAAAAGCAATTCTAGTCAACAAAGGCAAGGCAGGGGGCATCACAATCCCTGATATGAAATTATACTACAAAGCTGCTGTGATTAAAAACAGCATGGTACTAGCAAAAAAACATAGGGGAGGATCAATGGAACAGATCAGAAGATGCAGAAACATCTCCAGAAACTCCAAACACACTCAGCCACCTATCTTTGACAAAGAAGCCAAACACTTTCCCTGGAAAAAAGACAGCCTCTTTAACAAATGGTGCTGGAAAAATTGGCTTTCCACATGCCAAAAAATAAAACTAGATTTGTATTTTTCACCATGCAGTATACTCAAACAAAAATCAATCAAAGACCTAAATATTAAAACAGACACACTAAATCTGATGGAAGATAGAATAGGTAGAACTCTTGACATCGGCATAGGCAAAGCCTTTGTGAACAAAACCCTGATCACACAGAAAATATCACAAGGAATCAACAATTAGTCTCATCTTATTAAAAAGCTTTACACAGCAAAAGAAACCACCAACGGAATGAAGAGATGACCTACAGGACTAATATCTAGAATATATAAAGAAGTCAAATCAGACCCCTGGCCCCAGATTTAAAGACCTAATCCCAAAATGGACATCTGAAATGAACAGACACTTCTCAGATGTAAAAGTACAAATGACAAATGAATATATGAAAAAGTGTTCAACATCACTGGTCATCTGAAAGATGCAAATAAAACAATGCTGAGATTCTATCTCCCTCCAGAAAGAATGATTAGTATCAAGAAATCAACCAATAACAAATGCTGACAGGGCTGTGGGGAAAAAGGAATCCTTTTTCATTGTTGGTGGGAATGTAGACTGATGTAACCATTGTGGAAATCAGCGTGGATATTCCTTCAAAAACTAAAACTAGAAGTTCCATTTGACCCAGCTATTCCCCTTCTTGGTATTTTCCTGAAAGAATTAAAAGCATCACATCACAGTGATATATGCACACCCATATTTATAGCAGCACATTTTGTAATAGCTAAATCTTGGAAACAGCCCAAATGGCTATCAACCAATGAATGGATAAAACAAGATGTCTTTTTTTATACAGTACAGTAGCACCCTGCTATAAAGAAGGATAAGCTTGAGACATTTTTAGCTGAATTGATGCAGCTTCAGACCATACTCTTAAGTGAAATAAATTGGACACATGTTTAAATACCACACTGTTTCTCTGATGTAAGAAACTGAAAATGTAAATAAGGATCAAAATATATAGAAGATATTGGCAAATGGGAAGAAAATGTTCAAATGAGAAAGGAAACAAGGAAGGGGGAAGGGGAAAAGGAAGGAAGGGATAAGGAAAAAACAGAGAATGGAAGGAAAAAAGGAGTGAGAAAGAAAAAACGTTTTCATAGAAGCCAGGGAGTAAGGAGATTCTAATCCCATCCTTCTTGTCTATGCACATTCTTTGTGTCCTCACATCTTAGTCATTCATGTGGCTTTTTTAGTGTATGTCCTTAGAAGTGGAATCTAAAGATTTCCTATTGCCACAGGCAAAGTATTTATGTTTCCCCCAAACTCCTGTGTTAAAACCTAATTTCCAATGTGACAGTACCAGGAGATAGGGTCTTTTGTTTTATTTTGTTTTTTTTGGTACCAGGGTTCAAACTCGGGTCCTTGTCCTTGTGAGGCAGGCGGCAGAACCAACGAACTAAATCCCTGGCCCAAGATAGGGTCTTTGAGAAGTGATTAGATCAAAAGAGTGGAGCTTTCATGAATGGGATTAATGCTCCAACAAAAGTGACCCTACAAAGTTCCTGCTTTCTTCAAATTTTTGAGGACACAGAGAAAAGATGGCTATGACCCAGGCAGTGGGCTTCTCACAAGACACCAAATCTGCTGCCACCTTTAGACTTTCTAGCTTCTACAATTGTGAGAAACATTTCTGCTGTTATAAGCCACTTAGTTTATGGTATTTTGTTATAATATCCTTGAATGCACTGGGATACCTGTCCTTGGATGTAGCATTGCTCTCTATCACCAAGAGGAGGAGGACAAGTTTAAACCACAGATCCTCTCAAGCTGTGTAGACATATATGACTTACAAGAAATGGCCCATATCTAAAGTCTCCACTGAGAAGCAGTTGTAAGAGGTGCCCCATGTGAGGAATGAGAAGCAATCACACACTTCAGTGAGTTAACTGCTACGGGTAAAGAGCAGTATCTTTGCAGAAAGAGCACTGTCTTTGGAGAAATCATCCCTTTGCAACATAAATTCAGATCTTCCAAACTTAAACATCTCTTGGCATAAATAAAATTTCATGGTTTCCAAATTACTAGTATGATCTTGGAGGAAATGTCAAAGCATATCAGAAAAATGCTAAAAGTCATGTAAAAATTCATGCCCCTGTTATAGTGGTCAACACAATAAAAACATTTGTAGGGGCCAGTGATTTAGCTCAGTGGCACCACGCCTGCCTTGCAAGCACAAGGTCCCAAATTCAATTCCTGGTACCAATAACCAAACCAAAACAAACAAACAAAAAATCCTCTAGGAAACACATTTATAGTAGCTGGGTATGGTGGCACATACCTATAAGCTCAGCACTCAGAAGGCTGAGGCAGGAGGTTTGCTTCCAGTTCAAGACTAGACTGGGTTACATAGTGAATTCCATGACAGTCTAGACTACACAGTGAGACCCTGTCTCAAATAAAAAAAAAAAAAATCCCCAGCTCAGGCCTAAACTCTTTAAAAGACAAACAGGAAAAAAGCTGAAAGACCATTATAACAAAAATATTTTAAAAATCAATATTACCTGATCAAGATTTTTGAAAAGAAGAATATCTTTGCAAGCTTCCTGAAGTCTGCATCTCTGTTCATCAGTTTTAGGATGAATCACCTGTCAATCCAAATAAAGCAAGGGAAAATTTTTATTCCATTTTATAAATTTCCCACTTAAAAACTAATATATTATTTTTTCCTAAAAGGGGAGGATTGAGAACATATTTTATATATCCTGATTTTACAAAAATGCAAAGCAGGAGGCTAAAAGTAGAGGGGCAATATGATGCAGGGTGACAAGTAAAACCCACGCACCACAACAGCAGCAGTCAGTTGGCCCTTTGGAGCCTCCCCTCCAGGTTCTCATTCATAAAGCAGAGGGTTAAAAATCTGTTCATGCAACAGAGATTGAGCTGGGCACGATGACATATGTCTATAAACCGACTGCTTGGGAAGCTGAGGTAGGAGTATTCAAGTTCAAAACCAGCCTGGCAAAGGAAAAGAAGGGGAGGGGAGAGGAGAGGGAAAAAATGGAAGCCGGGTATGGTGGTGCACACCTGTAATCCCAGCACTCAGGAGTCTGAGACAGGAATGCAGGATGTTCGAGGCCAGCCTGGGCTCCATAGAGAAAGGGAAGGGAAAGAAAAAACGAGCACCTATTCAGTATTCTATACTACCCTAGCTCTGTGGACATAGCAGTGGACAGACAAAAATACCTGCCCTCATATTCAGTAAGTTCATAAAATATGCTGGAGAGTAATGATTTTAATTAGGAAATAAGGTGGGCAAGGGAGAGAGAAGTATGAGGGAAGGGAAGGGAAAAGGGAAGGGAAGAGGGAAGAGAAGGGAAGGGAAGGGAAGGGGGAAGGGGGAAGGGAAAAGGGAAAAGGGAAAAGGGGAAAGGGAAGGGAAAAGGAAAAAGGGAAGGGAAATTTTGCTCTAATGCAGTTCCATTTCCTCTCCCCTCTTTTGAGCTACTGTTGATATATCAATTAAAACTTTACCTGTTATAATCACACCAATACAAATATAGTTCTACTTATGTAATTATACTTTAAATCAAGTGAGAGAAGAGAAAAAAATCCATGATATGCTGTATCTTTATCAACTACATTACCTTTCCTAGTTCTTTTTTATTCAAGTTGTTTCAAGTTGCTAGATACAGAATCTTAGCTGTAGGGTTTCCCTCTTTCCTTCCACACTTTTATGTGTCTCACAGCTCTGATGCCTTCATATGAGAGGTCAGTTGTATATTGTGGTTCCCTGATATAGAATGTGTCTCTTTTTCTTTAGCTGATTTCAGAACATGCCTGTTATTCTGTGACTTTTGACATTTTGACTGTGTTGTATCTGGCTGTGTATCTCTTTGTTAAGACTACAGAATTCACAAGTGATTTGGCGATAAAAATTATTGTTTTCATTGAACTTTTATCAAATATGATTTCTGCTTCTTTTTTCTCTCTTCCAAATGTTCTCATTGCATGTATGATTATGTGTTTGATGTTGTCCTACATGTCTTTAAGGATTTTTTTATTTTTCTCAGTATTCTCTTTTCCTTTATTTTCTGCAGATCATATAATTTTTGTTGATCTAGCTTAAAGTTTTATGATTCTTCTACCAATGCAAGCACATGTGTCATTTTTATTACTATATTAATTTCAAGTTTTCCACTTGCTTAATGTACATCCTTTTACTGATATTCTTTATTTGATAAGTCATTGTGTTCATGCTTCTCTTTAAATCCTTAAACATGACTTTCTTTACTTTTTTGAGCACATTTACAAGGGATGAAATGAAGACTTTGTTTACTAAGACCAATACATGGACTTTCTTAAAAGCAATTTCCTTTTACTACTTTTCCCTCCATCTAAATGTCATACCTTCCTGTTCTGGAAGGGGAGGGGAGGGAAAAGAAAAGAGGAAGGGGAAGCAGCAGCAGCAAGAGATAGTGATCAGTGTAGAAAGGAAAAGATCAAGAGATGGTTAAAAAGAGAGCCAGGGAGAGACAGAGACTGGTTAGGGGTAAAGGGTTGCCAAATCACATCAGGGCATTCGAGATCATAGAACTGGAACTTTTCTCTAGTAACATGGGGGCAATCTGAAGGTAGCAACTAAGGAAGAAATACAACTAATATTTTTTAAAGATCTCACTGGATAAACAGAAACTATAGTGTCAGATGGTGGTGGTTTGGACCAAGATGGCAGCCACAGAGATGTTAGAAGTACAGAATTCTGGATATGTTTTGGAGACAGAGTCATTGGATTTACTGAAAAACTGAAAGTTGGTATAAAAAAAATGAAAAAACTTGAAGGTTACTACAAAGTTTTGGTCCCAAGCAACTGAACGAAGGAGCAGTCATGAATTAAGCTGGGAAAGACTCCAAGGAGAAGAATACCTAAAAAGAATTAATTGGGAATTCATATTAAGTTATTAATTGATATCTAAGTTAAAGTCTATAAGTAAACATTGGCTACATATGCTAAAGTTGAAACATCGGCAACTTGTTAGCATTAATAATGGAATCTGTACATTTGTGGTGTCATAAAGATTAAATAATACAAACAATATTTAAAACAGTAACTTGTATTCATTCAGTATGTGCTAAAAACTATTGTTTTTACTATTACTATAGATAGTAAATGTTTACTGAACTAAAAAGAAATGACTACTGACTAATCTTGGTGTTATAACTACTAAGAAGTCAAGCTACCTGAGAGAGGTTAATTCAGGAGGACAAGCAAGTTTGGGGCCAGCCTGGGAAGCTGAGGGAGAACATCTAAAAAAAGTGTGAATGGAGGAGCGGGAGACATAGCTCAGTGTTATAGTGCTTGCTTAGCATTTCACTGGATTCAACCCGGAGTGCTAAATAAATAAATATTGAGAGAACAATCAAGCTCACTCCTAAATAAGGTCTTCATTCTAGGAAAAGACATACCACTTAATCTGGCCAGAAATGAATGTCAAGTATTTTAAATTTGTAGTATTAACTTAGGGGGAGAATAGGTGGGTAAAGGTATGCTTTTTGTTTGTGGTGTTAGGGATTGAACCCAGCATGTCATGTATACTATGTAAGTGCCCTGAGCAATATCCTCAGCTTTGGGGACCAAAAACTCATGTTTTAAGCGTTAGAAGCCATCACAAGGGCTGGGGATGTAGCTCAGTGGTACTGCAAGCACAAGGTCCTGAGTACCCCCAAAAAGAGAAGAAGTCATTAAGAATTTTACAAAAGAGCCAGGGATTTAGCTCAGTGGTTCCACCACCTGTCTCCAAAGCACAAGGACCCAAGTTTTATCCCCAGTAACAAAACAAAACAAACAAACAAAAAAGAATTTTACAATAAGCAAAATTTTAGAAGTGTTAAATCTACATGTTTCTTTTTGGGAGAAGGGTCTTGCTACATAGTTCAGGCTGGCCTCAAACTCATAGCAATCTTCCAGCTTCAGCCTCCCTAATGCTGGAATTAAAGGCATGCACCACCATGCCCAACTACATTCACTTTTATGAAAGTAATTTAATCTCACCACAAGCACTGTTAACATTTAAGGCATGGGTATTCGAACTTTCAGCTCATCTGGGTTGCACTGAGGAAAGAGGAATTGTCTTGGGCCATATATGAAATATACAATGCAGTTGATGCAACATATCTTCCTTTATTCTATTATTTTAACATTAAGAAAAAGGTAACAGACATAAAACTAGTGGCTTAGTTTATCTTTCCTTATGAAACTAATGCATAAATGTGTGATTCAGTGAAAGTAGTTGCAATTCCTAATGAGTTCTCAAGGTGCTCATGAGAAACACTTGCTCTAATTTTACTCTTCATGTGCCTCAGAAATGTTCACAAATGTACATTCTGCCAAAAAGCATTGACATGAACAAGCCATGATTATGAAGTGAAGGATATTTTTCTCTGGGAAGACAGGACTTATAAAATTCTAGTAGTAGGGCTGAAGATGTGGCTTAGAGGCACACTGCCTGCCTGGCAAGTGCAAAGTCCTGAGATTGATCCCCAGTACCAAAAAAAAAAAAAAAAAAATTCTAGTAGTAAAAGAGACATGATCAAAAATTTTTTGAATTGAATGTCTGACTGCAACTTTATGCATTCCAAAAATTAATAAGCAACCATTTATATTTCTAATATTAACAATGTTGTAATTAAAACAATGTCATGGACAAAAAAAGTGATATATTTTTGTGCTTCCTATAACACAACTGCTAAAAAAGATTTTAATTTATTTATTTTATAACATAATACAAGCCCAAGTTTAATAATTAAATAAGAAAACTTACAAGTCTGTTTGTCTTCACAGGCACAGACGTAATGGTCAGTTGGAACAGTACTATCAGTGATCTCTGAGATAAGCACAGGTAGTATCTGACACAAGTAGGATCTGACTGGACAGGTGTGGTGGCCACACCGCACCACGCCACCCTATACAAGGTGCTATTGCTGCGAACACAGTCCATGCCCCAGCACTGGGCAATGAGACCATGAAAAATATCACTAAAAATAATTAATAATGTTACAAGTCTATGTTTTGGGGAGGCTGTGTTACCAGTTGTCTAGAATCTTGTGTGGCCTGCTAGCCAAGGCTGGACATACCACATGAGGTATATATATCCTCCAAGATACAATTCTCTGTTTATATACTACAACTAAGGCATTAAATTTTTTCAAAATGTCCCATAAAAAGTACTTCATACATATATTGTATGCCATTATGCTGTATGTCCTACACAATCATTTTCAAGAGCAACAGATTGTCTTGATTTGAATATACCATAATTTAGCCCCTAGTGATGACTTATTTAGGGGAATTGTTCAGATTTTTACTATTAGAACACTGCAGCAAGGGACTTAGCTCAATGGCACCACAACTGCCTCACAAGTGCAAGGTCCTGAGTTTGATCCCTGGAACAAAAAAAAAAAAAGCAAATAGAACACTGCAATGATCTCCATTTGTACATCCTTGGGAAGGCTCGTTAGGGTGAATTCTCCCTTGGGTGACTGCTAAGCCACTGATGTGACTATGTTTGAGGCTTCTGACAGCTATAGCTAGGTATTCCTTCTCACCATACCCTTTAACGGTGTGCTCTCAATCTGTTAGGTAACATACAGAATATTTTTTGTAATCCCAGCACTCTGGGAGGCTGAGTCAGGAAAACCGAAAGTTTGAGCTAAGACTGGGCAACTTGACAGGACCCTGTCTCAAAAAGGGTTGGGGTGGTACTTGGGTTAAATCCCTAGTGATGTAATAAAAAAAGCCCTTGCTATAATTTTTGGTTCATATTTATCTTACTTGCTAGTACACTTAGAATTTGCTGTGTAAAGAAAGAGAATCACTGTAAAATACAATTCTGTATAACACTTTTTCTTTAATTCTTACCCGTGGGTCAGTATCTTCTTCTTCCTCATCAGGGTTATAAGCCTCTGCACAGACTAAAATTGGAGGGAGAAAATAAAAAGAAAAATGATACGTGGTTTTAGGAAAAATAAGTGATCATAATTTCCTTCTATTCACTGTTTTCTAAAGCTGTAATGCATGATGTTTTAAAATTTTCTTTCAATTAGTAAATATGGTATGTTAGGTACCTACTAGCGTCAGACATTCTCTTAGGTACTGTAAATCCAGTTCTGTGAAGATGGTGATCCAATATAGCAAACAGTGAGACAGATCACCTACTAAATCCTGTGAGGGTGAAAAGTACAAACACCGAGGTGCTGACTCTACTGAATTATGTAGCAAGAGTGAAAACCACCAAGTACAATATACGTAACATAAACACAAGAGATATGCATATAATCACCAAAGCAATCAGTTAAAATACTGCAAAGTCATTATATGCATGTATAATTTAAAAATTAATGAGTATTTTGTTTTTTTTTAAGTTTCAGGCTTTGCCTAGGTGAGTAACTTTGCCCATGTGGATTAAAACTTTCAATTCCCCTTTCCTCAGCTTCCCAGATTGCAGGGAAGCCATGTAACACCACATTATTTCTAACATTTTTTTTCTAACATTATTTCTGATGTTGTACTGTTATAATTAACGTGTTCTTTTTTAATCTCTGAATTATAATGACAAAAATAAGTCCTCCAGGCAGCTGGCATAAGCACAGACACAAGTTAGTTACAAAGAAAAATAAGTTATAGTTTTATATACTATTGTGGCTAAAACAGCACCTGACACATGGCTTTTTGTTTTTGTTTTGTTTTGAAAGTAATTGTTAGTCTGCACAGTAACGATTATCTGTAGTCCCAACTATTCAGGAGGGTGAGGCAGGAAGATCACTTGAGACTAGAAGTTAGAGGCCAGCTGGGATACACAGCATTCAAGGCCAATCTGAGCTACAAAGCAAGATTCTGTCTTTAGACAGACAGACAGACAGACAGGAACAAGGAAAGTCTCCTTGGACTAGTAGAAAGAGGTTCTAGAAAAAGCAAGAAAAGTAAGTGAAGAAGAGTATTCATAATATGTTGTCATGGAAAAGGAGAGGAGCTGAGAATGAGGTAAATAAATGTATAACATAAACATTACATGTACATATTATTTATGAAGTTTTACAACTTATTTACTAATTTTTCTGGGTTCTGGGATGCACAACCCAGAAAGCAATAAAGTTGTTTTCCTAATGGTTAAGTTAGAAACAATAAAAGACAGGAAAAGGGAAAAAAACCTCTCCAAGGAAACTCTTTTACAAAATATTGACATTTAGGCCACGTTAATATTTCACTTATTTTATTAATTAAATTGACAGAGATGGGGGCTGAAAAACTGAACAGGAGAGAAAATAAGTCTAACTGTGTATCAGGCTGATAACAACTACAGAGCAGGAAAGGAGAGTCTATGTAGCTTCTGGACATAACAGATCATCCACTTTCAAGTGGATATTCTTGTGACAAAAACCTACTGAACTGGGGGTGGTGATATTTGCCTATAATCCCAGTACTCCAGGAGGCTGAGGCAGGAAGATCACAAGTTTGAGTCCAGCCCGGTCAACTTAATAATTTAGCAAGAGCCTGCCTCAAAAAATAAATAAATAAATAAATAAATAAAAATTAAAAAGGGGCTGGGGATATACCTCAGTGCAAAGACCCTGGGTTCAATCCCCAATACTACAAAAAAGAAAAGAAAAGAAAGAACTGTGGTTGTGGACCAGCAATACCAACTCTCCTGGGTGCAATGAAGTCACTGCAATAGTGAGCAAACAGAGAGGGTTTTGGTGAGAAGGAACAGAGGAGCAATTAAAGATTAGAGATTTCAATACAACCGCCATTTTTTAATTTTGGGTTTTTTGGTTTTTTGAGACAGGGTCTCACTATGTAGCTCAGGCTGGCCTTGAACTCACTATGTAGGCATGCCTCAAATGTGGCAATAACTCTTACCTCAGCCTCCCAAATTCTGGGATTACAGGCATGTACCACCACACCCAGCCCAAATCATCATTTCAAAACCTTATCCTCTGGTGGTAGTGGCAAGTATATAATGAATTATCTAGTGCATAAAAAGGTTTTTGTACTCATTAACAAAAACTTCTTTCAAGAATGATCTAAACCAGGCATGTTGGCACACACCTGTAATTCCAGCACCCAGGAGGCTGAGGCAGGAGGATCACTGTGAGTTTGAAGCCAGCCTGGGCTACATAGTGAGTTCAGGGCCAACCTGAACTACAAAAGGAGACCCTGCCTTCAAAAAACCAAAGGGGAAAAAAAAGAACATCCAGATTTGAAACTGATGTTGCTCAGAATACATCAAACCTGTTCCCTCTTCACAACATACCCCATTATGGCGGGGCAAAGTTATCTTCTGATACATCCCTTATATATAATAGCTATAAGGATCAGATGTAATTTCCTGCAAAACTCCATTCTGTCTTCCACATAAAGGAGTTAACAGTGACTTCCTCTGAAAACCATCATAAGGATTGAAGTAGACAAGTACTTGGCACACAGTATGGATGCCACAAGTGCCAAACTTTTGTTTTTTTCATCTTGCTATGTAGTCCAGGCTGGCCTTGAACTTGTGATCCTCCTGCCTCAGCTTCCTGAGTTCATGTACCACAGCAACTTTTTTTTTTTTTTGGTACTGGAGATTGAATTTGGGACCTTGTGCTTGCGAGGCAGGCAGTGGAACCACTGAGCTAAAACCCTGGCCTCTATTTTTTTTTTTTTTTTTAACTCTGTGGTGCTGGAAATGGAATCTAGGGCCTTGAGTATATTAGGCATACTCAGTGCTTTACCACTGAGCCACAACTCAAATCCTTTTATTTTTTAATTTTGAGTTAGTGTCTTAAGTTGCCTTGGCTGGCCTTAAACTTGTGATCCTCCTACCTCAAGAAGTTGGATAACAGGCATGCACCACTACATCCAGAAGTGCCAACTTTTTAAACTCTTATTATTACTTCTGCCCCATTTGTTCTGGTGTTCACAAAAACTAATTATTATTATCTTGGTTTTGCTGTCTATCTAATCCTTTCAACAATTGTTCTTCAATGCTGCCCTCATCACAGATTTTTGCCCTTATCAACTTTGCTCTTTTTGCCTTGTATATTTCTTGCTTAGTGTTTTTTTAGTTTCCTCAGCCTATTCTTTCCTTGGCTGTTTATTCAGAATTCATAAAAGCAATGTTTTCTTGTACCCTACTGCACATTTTGTAGTGGACCATTCTAATTTTTGTTCTCTGTGTATGTGTATGTGTATGGTGGTACTAGGGATTAAACTGAGCAATATCCTTAGCCCTTTTAATATTAAGACAAGGTCTTGCTAAACTGCTAATCTGCCCAAGCTGGGCTCAAACTTTGGTCTTCTTGCCTCAGCCTTTCAGAGTGCTGTAATTATAGGTGCATACCACCATTCTTGGCTTCTTTTGCTCCTCTGATTATCTTAATTTGTTGAATTCATTCATAGGCCCAGTAACATATGCTTCTCATTCATTAGCAGGCAAAGAATATAAGTAGTTCTTGATGCTACTCTCAGTGTAATTGTATCATGGCTAAAAGACCATTATCTACAATAAGGGTGTAGGAGCATTGGCCTGAGGTACATGTGACATGGGTATGCAGAGATAAGGGATTTTGGGGCTACAAGCCCAAAACTTCACAGGATACATGTTTAGAAATTAAAAGGTAAGTCTACAGGGCCATAAGTCCAAGTAGGATTAAGATGCATTGCATTAAAGAATGAACACTCTGGGGCTGGAGATTTAGCTCAGTGGTACCACAACTGCCTTGCAAGCATAAGGTCCTGAGTTTGATTCCCAGTACAAAAAAACAAAAACAAAACAAAAACAAAAAACAAGGAATGGATGCTCTAATCCTTGTCCTTCCCATACTGATTTATTACTTAGATTGGCCCTAAGGTCACTCATGTAACAGACCACCCTAACCTTCCCCTGTTTCCTAAATTAATTCATTCATATATGTCCTTTTTTGTCCTCTATCCTTGCTTCCTGGTTCTATCAATAAAAAGTCACCAAAGCTTCAGTTTGGGCATTTTTCCTATTAACACTGTCACATTGAGAGATCTTGGGTAAGACAGCCCCTCTGGATCCTCTTAGAAGTTAAACTAGACATAGTCTCTGAGTAATCTCTCATCCTTTGCACCATGCCATGGCTGTGAGCTGTGATACAAAGGGACAAGCTGGCTCATGCCATTTCCAATTTCATTCTGTTCTTTGGAGACAGTTACTCATGGCAGCCCTTGTCTAGCTGCATCCCAGCTTACCGTTCCTCACTGATTCTATGAACACCTGAGAAATGGTAGCCTCCAGAACATACTGTTTACAGGACTCTCCCTTCCCTGCCATAATATTCTGCCTATCCATTGAGGACCTGTATCCTAAAACAGAGAAAACTCAGAGGAAGTAGAGAAGACAGACAGCATTCCAGCCTCTGAACAGCACCTCGTGATACTCTGCAAAGGCTTCCAGTACCTGGCTGGGTAGGTCCGAGTTGGCTGAGCCCAGGAAATGACAACGGGATATAGGTAAAGACTCTATCTTTCTCCAAGTTTCAAATTTCCCAGCAATAAGGCTGGGTGCATTTATCTCAGTTCTGCCCTAAAGATGAAGGCAAACACCATCTTGATTCTGACACATTTTTGTTGCTGTATTTTGCATCTTCACAGTTTTTTCATTAGGAGATTAGGAAAGCTGCATTGAGGGTACCTAACCAGACATTATGGTAAACCGAAAATTTCTTAGTTCTCTGTGCTCTTAATGCCATTATCACCCCAGTTTTCTAAACTGGAAATCTGGTATTCACCATGAGTTTCTTTTTTTCTTTTTTTTTTTTGGTACCGGGGATTGAACTCGGGTCCTTGCGCTTACAAGGCAGGCCACCAAACCACTGAGCTAAATCCCCAGCCCCATGAGTTCATTCTTATACCTCTTATCCACATCATATTCTGCTTAAGAAATACTCTCAAATTTGACCTTTACTCACTCTTTTCTAATTGCTGCCCCTTATCTAAGACAGACTTCAAAATATCTACTTAGAATAAAGCATTTCAATAAAAACTTTCAATCTTTAAGGGATAGATGGCTAAATGAACACTATACTTTCTCTATTTTTGCTTATGTAGGAAAATATTTATCTACAAGGTTTTTAAAACTTCAAAGATGAAACTGATACAATTTTACTGACAATGACAATATTGGGCTAGTCTATTTCTAGACAGGTCTTCCTCTAATTTTGTAGGATAGTATCTTGGTAACTTAACTCATTTTCATATTTTTAAGATAGCAACTGTTAATCAGTCTTTGAGTCATTAGAGATAGTATTATAATTTAAACAAAAGTAAGCTGAGTACAGTGACACACACCTGTAATCCCAGCACTTGGGAGGCAAAGGCAGAAGGACTGCAAGAAAGTTTTGCCTGAGCAACTTAGAGAGATCCTATCTCAAAATAAAAAAATAAGAAGGGGCTGTGGATATAGCTCAGTGATAATGATAAAGCATCCCTGGATTCAATCTCCAGGAAAGAAAGAAGGGAGGGAGGTAGGGAGCATCACAGAAAAGTTATTTTCATTAAAGCTATTAATATATTTCTTTTTGTGGAATCACTTCTCATCCTTTTGGCTAAGATCAAGTGAAAGACTATGCTTTAATCTTTCAAAATTGGTTTTGAATGTACTTTCCTTTATTATTTCTTTATGGTAAGAACATCTAACACATAAGCTTTACCCTAATAACAAATTACAAGTATAGAACACAGTATTGTTAATCTTGCATAACTGAAACTTCAACAGCTACTCTCCACCTCCCTCTATCACCAGTCCCTAGGAACATCATTGTACTCTCTAGTCTATGAGTTTGACCACTTTATTTATTCACTTATTTTTTGAGTGCTAGGAATTACACCTAGGACTTTGCATGTTAGGCAAGCAATCTACCACAGAGCTATACACCCAGCTCCACCGACTCTTTTTTTTTTTTTTTTGAGGTGGGGTATGAGGGATCAAACTCTGGCCCTTGTACTTGCCAGGCAGGTGACAGAACCACTGGGCCAAATCCCCAGCAACCCCCTGCCCCAACTCTTTTAAATATATCACCTAAGTATAATCATGCAGTATTTGTCCCTTACAACCATAGTTTCACTTTGAATAATGCTGTTGTTGTTTTTAACTATATTCTCTCCCCTTCGTCCTCTTTTGTTTCCACAGTAACCTCATTGCTTCTTTCTGGTCTTGCTCCCAAATGATTACTTCCCTCATTTTCTTCATAAAATCTTTCTTATTTTTGTGCTGGGAATTGAAGCCAGGGCCTCCTGCATGCTAAACATACTCTTTAACACTAAGATATACCCCAGCCTGATCCATTTTAAAATACCTACTGACTGTTGCCCTGATGGTTGTGTGCTTGTCCCAGAGAAGGCCCAGGGCCTGTGTGATTTCCTACATAGTCTCCAGAACTGCAATGTATCTTAGAAGATACTCAAGATCTATTAAAAATAAAGATTAAAACAGCAGCACATCCTTGTTTAGGGAGGTTTATTTTGCTACAGTGCTCCAGCAGATGTCACTAGTCAGTAAAGTGACAGGTTATCCAGCACTGTGTCTTCCCAATTTTAATTGGTGCTTCTTTCATCCAGGTATGTGAATAATTACAATTTTACTTATGAGATAAAATTCTTTTATTACTACAAGGAAATGAGCAGAGATTCTGGTCCTAACCTGAGGCCCTGTGCTGCCTGCCAGTTCCCATGAATAGCCTGGGTATGTTAGTCCTCTGGGGCTGCCAAAATAAATACCACAGAACTGAGGGCCTTAAAAATTTATTTTCTCACAGTTCTGGAGGTGAGAAGTCAAAGATCAAGATATTGGCAAGTCTGATTTTTCCCAGGCCTCCTTTTTAGCTAGCAGATAGCTGCTTTCTCACTGAGTTTTTGAAAGATCTTTTCTCTTTCTCTCTCCATGTGTGTGTGTGTGTGTGTGTGTGTGTGTGTGTGTATGCACTCTCTGTCTTACCAGGACTTCTTAGAACTTTGTTTAGTTCTTAGAATTTCATTTAGTCTAAATCATAAACACACACACACACATACAAACACAGAGGTGATTGAACCTAGGGCCTCACAAATGCTATGCAAGCATTCTACCACTTTTTACTTTTCTAGCTATTTATTACTAAATTTTTCAAATTATTTCTATTTTGTTGGGATTTGTTTGAAACAAGGTCTCACTATAGAAACCACATTGGCCTTGAACTCACAGTGTAGCCGAGGCTGACCTCAAACTCACTGTGGTCCTCCTGCTTCACCCTCCAGAACACTGGTATTACAGTCATGTATTACCATACCAGGCTCTATTTTTTTTTTAAAGTGCACCCCACCCACCCACCGCCCTGTACCAGGAGATCAAACTCGGGACCTTTCACTTGTGAGGCAGGCACAGTGCCACTGTTTTGTTTTTTTTCTTAAGACAGGGTCTTGGTAAATAGTCCAAGTTGACCTTAAACTGGCAATCCATCTGCCTCTGACGTCTGAGTACCTGAAATTATAAATGTGCACCATGGCACCCAGCTCTTAATCACCCCTTTAAAGCCCTATCTCCAAATATACACTGATACAGCATCAACTTAAGAATCTGATGGGGAAACAAAGCATTCCACAACACTGGATTCCTAAATTATTTTAAGCAATGCTTAGTAATGTTTTAGCTTAAGATAGCTCCAGGTAGAAAAAACGCTGCCTATTCAGTACTGTAGTACACTACTATAAGCACGTAAGCTTTAGAGGCAGGGTTATCTGGTGCAAGGCATCAATATTTACTGAATATCTGCTATGTGCCAGGCAAAGTAGGGAGTACACTAAAATCTGAATAAAGAAACAAAACAAAACAATACAACAGAACTACTTGGAAGATTGAAGCAGGAGGATCAAGTTCTAAGCCAGCATGGGCAACTTAGTAAGATATTTTCAAAATTAAATAAATAAAAAGGGCTGGAGATGTAGCTCAGAATTACAATACATTCTTAGCATGCATGGGGTCACAGGATCGATTTCCAGCAATTATAGTAACAGTAATAGAAAAATTAAATAGAGTAATCAACCAGTATAATTTGGGGGGTTTTTGGTACCAGGAATTGAACTCAGGGCCTCACACTTGCCAGGCAGATAATGTGCTACTGAGTTACATTCCCAGCCCTCAACCAGGACAATTCTGCATTAAAATTTTCCAATGGTTGTTGAGTGTGGTAGCACATGCCTGTATTCCCAGCACTCAGAAGGCAGAGAAGCAGGAAGATCACTGCAAGTTCATGGCCAGCCTGAGCTATAGAGTGAGTTCAAGACCAGCCTAAACTACCTAGTAAGACTCTGTCTAAAGAAAAAAATTTGGGGGCCAGGGATTTAGCTCAGCAGTTCAATGGCCTGCCTTGCAAGCGCAAGGACCTGAGTTCAATCCCCAGTACCAAAAGAAAAAAGAAAAAAATTGTTTTCTAAAGGTTAAAAAATCTGAATTTTATTCAAACTTACTTTGAAAATAATCTGGGTCATACAGATAGATAAAAAGGGCAAAATACTACCAAACTAATCCCACACAAGAAAATACAAACAGATTTTCCATATTGAAAAGCAATTCTTTTGTTAACCAAAGAAATGCTAACTAAAATGATCTGATATATTGTTTTGTACCCAGTCTGTATTACTAAGACAGTAGTGGTGAAGAGACCTGTACAGGGAGCCTTTCTCCTTGCAGCTTAACTGCCGACTATCTTCAAGGCAAGACACAGGAAAAGTTAAGCCAATACTCAGTCTCTGACGGGAAAATGCCACTTCCATCTCTACAGTAGCATAATTCAGAATACCAGCAATAGTAATTTGAAAATCAGTTTTTAGATGTTGTAAAACCTTACAAACATGGAAACATATTAATAACAAATACAAAGAGATGAACCACACTAATTACAGAAATATAAAAATACATATATGATCAGAACTAAAATGAACAATGAATGGAGGAAATACAAATAATTTAACTTTTGACATAACATTTTATTCGTAGTTTTACTTAAAAGATTAGTCTATTTTCATCTAAGATATTCCTATTATACAATACCACTTGAGCAGCATGTACAAAGAAAACACATACCTGATACTCGTCTATTAAATCTACTGGGTCCTGGAACTGAAAAACAAAGAAGCAGCATTTAGTCATCAATAAACTACACCCCATTTTTATCCTCCCATTCTGCAAACATCTTTTTTTTTTTTTTTTTTTTT